CCTCCTTCAGGTGTGCCTTGTTAATAACCGAGTTTGAGTAAGTAGTGAAAATGGAAAACACCAAGTTCTTCAGGTACTGATTCCCTTCGGAGTTTGTCGGTTCGTTAGAAAGGAGGTTTACCTTATCGGTCTTGTGAGTCATGGTAGAGTGCACTAGTACTACCGGTGGAGAAGGATCCGTCGCGTTATTCTCTGCATCGCACGGGTGGATAATACAGGCATGCTCAAGAAAATCATCAAAATTATACTGATTTTCTCGTGGAGGTGGTGGCAGAAGGTCGTCAGCAAATAGATAAAATAAATGCATGAGCGACTGGCGCAACTCGTCCTCCTCGTCACTGAATCTAGCGAGGACGTATTGCGTCGCGTCGGCCCACGCACTAATAAGATCGATATTCTGCACAAGGTACGCCAAAACACCCCCTTTATCCCTCTCAAAGGTGTTAATGAGAATATCACAGGCCAAATGAAGATGCTCCATAAGCGCATTATTTCCCTGGCAAACCTTCAAAAGCTCCGAGGAGAGCAATATCATTTCCTGCGTTATTGCTGGACGCACAGAAACTGTATAGGACTCTTCTGAACACGTTAGTGTTGAGCATAGACGCAGTAGTCTACCGTTCAAAAGTGCATCCTCACTTGTAGGGTGACGGATCAAGATATTTTTACTATATTGTAAAACCACGGGCAGCGAACTAGCCCACTCCCCCCATCGTGAGAGGTGAATGCTGCCTTCACGATAATGGCAAATGCTAATAAGGGGTTCCTCGGAGACAGAACCATTCTCAGACAAGCATTCTAACACCACACAGCACACTTGCGCCGCTTTAGATGATACCACGTCCAACAAATGGGCCGCCTGCTCAAAAAAAAAAGGTAGCGCGAACCGCACAAAGGACAAGCGAATCGAAAAGATAGGTACCTTAATGCACTGCTGCGAAAAGTAAGGAATCAGCTCCAGCAAACAATCCAGAAACTCTTCCGGTGTTAAATATGCCTGAAAGAATCCTAATATGGTGGCGATCCGACTACGACCAATCGGCGTTGGTCCACCTCCCTCGGTGCCGTTGGGAGTCGTGGTAGTGCCTTCCTGGTCGTCTTGCTCCGCGCTCAGGACGTCCAACTTCCAATTCAAGTAGGTAGCCGAAGCAAGAATAACATACAATTCATGCCGAACATAATGTCTGAGGGTCTCGTCATTTTCTCTCAGAACTTTGAGATAATTCAGGACAATGTATTGCACTTCACGGCGCTCATCGGGCCCGATCTCATTGCTCACAAGAAAAAGAGCGGCCCGGCAGACCATAAAATGCAAATAATGATACTCTGTGGCCGCGGTCAGGAGTCTTTTGGTCGTATTCCAGTGTTCATGCGTGCTAAGATATCGAAGCTGACGAGCGGCGGCATCACGATTAGCTTTTTCGGAGGAAGTCAGAGCCACCGTCGCGGCTTCGTCTAACGACTTTAGCTGTGAATGGGTGGGGACGACCAAATCATCAACCACCAGGCCACTTGGAATGTCGATGCCTTCCATATAGGCTCTGCGATTGGTTGGGGGGATAGGGATTACCACCTTTTTGGTTTATATGATAGGGTGAAAAGTATATAGTGTCTATACACGGGTACTCCCCAGGGAAGGAAAGTAATAGAAAAAAACGATACTAAGAGACACCCTTCCCTTTCTAGTGAAATCAGTTCTCGCCTTTTTCTATATTATTGCGTCTGAACGCAAAAAAAAAGGGAAACTTTAGTATAGATGTCACAAATATCAAAAAAAAAGAGACAGAGTTTTGGGAGAAATATATTGTAAAGGAATAAAGCGAACTCTAAGGTAGATTTTTCCATTGTAATTAAACAATAAAACACAAAATTATAAGACATTCCATATGAAAAGGTTAAGAACTAGATATTCTTTTGATTATCCGGATGTTGATGTTTTATTCATGGATACTTATTAAAAAATCTAGTGATCTGAAAATGAATATATATGTATAAAGGTTGTCGTTTCGCAGGCTGATAAATGTTAAGAACGATAAAACGGAATACGAATCATAATTTAACCCGTAAACAGTTTATTAAAAATAAAGAAGTTATGCCAATCATTTAAAACAATACATGAATAATCACGTAAAAAAAAGTCACTTAGCACATACAGTCTCGTCTTACTCTTCAACAGTATGAGAAAAAGAAGGAAGTATTAATCTTGTGGAATGAAGACAAAGAAGCCTGTACACATATTTCTTATAGTTTTTCCTTTATACGCCTTCATCGATTACATACACATTGTGTGGAAATCTGTCCGAAAATACAAATATTCTAAAGTAGTTCCATTTTACCAAATACTTTTATAAACCATGGAAAATATAATTCCACGCTACATTTAGGACTTTACAAAAAATATATAGAGCAGTAAATGGCATGTCTTTCACTGTCGAAGCCACGACATAAATGTGCTAACTAACCTTCCCAACTGAATATCCTATAAAGAATAATGTTAGCAATCAAATACACCATAGATCTGGTCATATCGAGTCACTGAAAATATGATTAATCTAAATGGAAAATAACAACATAAAACTGAAAGTGTTCCCCCACCTCACCTCCCTCGGAAATCTTTATATAAAGAAGGCTTTAGTGGTGAAGAAACTAAATATATTAAATATTATTACAGCGCAGTTGAAACTTTAAAGCGCATTAACAAACACTTATTAAAAAAAAACCTAACCCAACAAAAAATAGGGTGTTACCTTTTTTCCAAAAAATGAAACTGTGTCATAGTATTTCATAATTGTAATAAGATCAATGACTTGATTTATCCACTGTGTATATGTGTGCTTTATATTATAAGATGTATTCTTCCTGTGTAGTATGCCCAAAGGGGGAATATCGGTGCAAGTATACAAATCAAACCAATAATACCCATAATAACAAAAAATGGAGTTAAACTATTAATATCATGAAAAGGCACCCGTAAATTTAAGCCCCATTGTCCTGCAATTAGATTCAAGGGCATTATGATCACAAAAATATAGTGCACCAACACCATGAAATAATCCGAATCATTACTAACTTCATAGTTGCTTGAAATCACGTTAGAATTGTAGAGGATGGTGGCATTACCCAAGACTATGCGCGCAGTATCCATTTTATGAAGTGTTTGATCAATGATATCACTAGTAGCGTCCAGTACAGTAAAGGTTTCCGAAACTGACGATGAGTACATCGCTCTGGAAACCTCAAGTGATCCTCGCTGATAGTGATCAGAAAAGGAGGCTTGAGCCATAAAGGCGGCCAATACCGATACCGAAGGCCCCTTCAAGGAATTCAGTAATTTCTTTTTAGAGATCAGTTCGCGACGATGATTTGACAACCGATGCCGAAGCATTAAAATGCGCAGGTGCGCATCTGACTGATCACTCTCCACCTTAGGTATAATTAAAGGCAGAATGAAATTAATAGCCTCCACTTCGTTCAGCATGGTATTAATGTTAGGAAGGTAAGTATAACACACAGTTGACATGAGTATGGAAACAAACAAAGATGTCGTCATCATTTCCTCATCTCGGTTACGCCTCTCTGAAATATGAAAAGCGTCAGGTTTAGATCTATCCGATAGCGGTAAGTGGGGTGTGGGGTAAATACAGTGCGAGAACACCGCCTCACGCAGCTGAGACCAATTCTTCCCCTGCCAAACACACCCACGATCATTCCATAAGGCGGAGGTGCTTCGGGGGCACCACGTCACGCACAATCCCTTCAAACAAAAGACGTGCGTGATGGCGGGCTGCAGAGGTCTAGTATGTCTATCCCCTCCAATGCACAAGGCACCGCTATACCGATCATTCTCAAGCAATAAATGATCCAGAGAATCGTCCCTAGAATTGTCCGAGTCACTCCTGTTGTGAAGGGCATCTTCAAGGCTGATAGGAGGGATGTGATTACCGAAAGGGTTAACCGATCGCAGAAATGGATTATCGTGGAGAGTATCGGAAACATAAGAGAGTTCAAAGAAAAAGTCTTGTTTGTTATCTCTAGCCATCAAGCAAGAAGCTTGTATCGGCTCTTCCATTTTTGGAATTTGATGCACAGTATGCTCCAACAGTGTCACCAAACGCAACGCTACATAGTATTCTTCCTTGTTCTCTCCTTTACAATTTATGGTATTAGGTTTCGTAAATATACAGACGGCGTCAGGATCATCCAGGACTTCCAAGCCATCTTCAGAACTGTATCCCGGACAGAAGCATTCAAAGTCCTGAGATGGTGTAAGTCCTCCCTCCTTCGCAGCGTGAATCGCTCCATCTCCTTCATTATTAGGATGTGTTGTTGCCATAGTATGAGAATAGATATTAGTGGCATCCAACCCCTTTTTTCCAAGCATCAGCACTCGTCGTTGGTACTCTTCTTTTATCTCATCCTGAAGCTTCATTCGATGTTCTTGACTAAGCTGTAGAGCTTCCCAAAGATCATCCATAGCATTGTTTTTGTCATTTCCATTAGTAGTATCCTGGGGAGGCGAGGGCACACCATGGAGATCAATCCAAACAAACCCCGTCTTGCTGTCTGAAATCACTCCTTCAGAGTACTGAGCGCCATTTTCGATCGCAGAGGGAAACATGCCATCACAAGCGCGTACAGCCTCCTCGACTCGGCCTACATATGCCTCCTGAATACTGGAGCCGTTATTCCCACATTTATATATGTGGCCCGCAAAGGTAGACAATGATGCGGAAACCCCAAAGTGTAGTCTGGAATCCCCACACCAGTGGTTAGCCCCGTCGAGCCACGACGTATGATGAATCATTTCCTGTCTACTGAATTCCATGAACGCGGTAGATAAGGATGACCCCACTTCTCTCGGTTAGTTGAAAAGGAAAGTGGATCAGAAAGTCAGTAAAGCTACAAATACAGACTTTGTTTCGAAGTAAAGACCCCGGTTAACGAAGACTCAGATAACGAAAGTGGTATTATTGGATTAGGTGTATATATCAATAGCCTTAGACTGGAATGTTTATTGAAGAATTCTTGTGGAAAGAATTGTGAATTAAATTCAATCAATATACTGCCATGAACGTAAAGGTAACTCTCAAAAGTATCTTGATCAGGCGCAAAAGCTTAATGAAAGAAATTTCTGTGAACGAACTTAAAGAAGGAAACTTAGCTTGCTCATAGAAAAAAGTTGTGAAAAAGGGATAAAAAATAAGGACTAAAGGAAAAATAAATGGAAAGTAAACGCAACATTAATTGATTAAGTATATACTAGTTGAAAATCTCAACAGCAAGAAATATTCGCGTTAAGGAATCAAGCAAAGAGAAAAGGTTTGAATTTCAAGGGAATATTTTTAGCTCTGAATTCCAAAAAGAATATAATGATAATTAGTATTCAAGTAGTTTTTTTTTTCCATATGTCATGAATATGATGATCATGCTATAATTCGGTGGATCACGTAAATTTAATCTACCATCTCATAGAATACAAAAAATCCTTTGTATGGAAAAAAATGATGAAATTATGGAGAAAACAATGATAAAAAAGCTAACATGAATTAAGAGTAAACTAAATCAACTGAAAAAATGATGATTAAATAAAAACATGTATGCAAAGCGAAGAAAAATATATTAGCACTAAAATCGAACGATGAATTACATACATTAGTATTCATTTCAGAAAAAAGAATTCGTCAAATCCTTTGGCTGGATTTGCTTTCCCAGCTAGCTGTTCCAATATAATTTATCAGGGTTTAAATCAGAAAAAAGAATGTTTAAAACGACTTTGATTATATAATACTTCACTTTTTTTTCTTGTTTCCTAGATCCGCGCTATATCTTATTGAATCATGGTCACTTATCCTTCTTAATAATACACTTCCAAAAGACTGAGAAAAGAACATGGTTTTAACTAGTGTATGTTTTGTCAAAACAAGTACCTTGAAATGAGATAGATCTATTGGCATTCATTTATAGGATACATTTCTATTCAACACAAAGGATTCAAATATTGAATTCAAGATCACTCTCTACTCCTCATGTTGGTCTCACACCTATCTAATTCCTCATTCGTCACACAAGCCCATAACACTTGAGTTTTTTCAACGCAATCAAATCTCTTTTTTCAGCTTTTCTTCTGGCTCAACTCGGCAAAATTATGCAGTTCTTTTGTGACGTTCCAACTCGTAATGAGAAGGACTATGGGTATCGGCCTGTTAGCAATTGAAAACGGGACACCGGTCAACATAAAGTTTGCTTTTTTATCAGCTGGGCATGAGAACCCTTGATTAGGTGACATGTTACTGCGTAGGGTTATTATAAACACTGTAGGCGCAGGCTCCATACATACTTTGCAATCCAGGTCATACTGACCCCGAATCGACCATTGAGAACTGGGGATTATACATACCATTGCCATTTTTACCCGGTAAACCTGTGGCAGATGACACACTGTTTCCTGGGACATTTACTTGATCATTCCCTTCATCCGTGAAATGTGATGTTTAAAAGCTGTCGCGACCATGATGAGTGTTTGTGTCGGGGCAGTCTTCGGTTAACCCTTGGTTCTGAAGCATACTGTTGCCGTAGGGAGCGCCTGCGGCAGCAGCCTGCATTTGGAGCTCCTGTAAATCCAGTGCTTCCTGCATAAGCTGCTCTTCAAAGACAATTTCTTGGATCCTTTGATGCACCATACAGCGCTGCATAGCATACATCATCATGCGCTCAGGGGCATCTTCAGCTGGACGGTACATGCTTATCTTCTGAATGAGAAGGTTTACTTTCACAGAAAAGATAAAAAGGTATTGGTGTAAACCTTTATGAAAGTAAGATTTGACCTTTAAAAACGAACAGCAAATCTGTGAATAAATTTGGTGATATAAAAAATGGCAGAGTATACACGAGTACATATAAAAAAACTGTTACGCAGCTCAATAGTTTTCCCTTTTTTGTATGTATTTCAGTACTTGAAATTTGTAATAAAAATACCAAATTTGAGGATAGACCATTATTATACCTTTGTCATTTATATTGCAGATATATATATATATATATAATAAAAAATGAATGATTAAAATAAAAAGAATTATGTTCTAATAAGACAAAGGTGTCTCGCTGACTTTATAGATGCATATATTCTATATGATTTATTGCAGTAATTTTTTTTTAATGATAGATAAATACTAGAGTTTTGAAAAAAATAAATGTTTTTATGGATTTCTGAGGATCCAAAAGTACATTAAGTTTAATGAAACGTAAAAAATCCTGTCACTGTAATTTCAGGAGGCAGTCGACTAATATTAATGTCGCGATTTCTTTCACAGGGCCCTAGGGATGCCCGCTTACAGAGTGCATTGCTGTATTTCGCCGGGATCCCACGCCTGTTTGCTATGGTAATATGTGGGAAGCGGTTGTCACAGGGAAACTCCCTGCCATTTTCATTGCGAACCACAACCGCAGTGCCATCCGAATCAGAAATAACCCACAGAAGAGTTAACACAATTGCCTTACCACGAAGAGTACACAGCTGTGCGTACATGAATTCATCGTGATCATTACCAAAGTATTTAGTTGTTACGTGAAAAGACCTTTGGATGA